AAAAAATAAATTATTAAAAAATTCATAGTTTTCTATAACTTATTCCCAAATCCAAATTCCCTAGTAGCCACAGTTTTCTAGAAATGAAATTAATTTCTGTAGCAACCAGCTGTGACATCACCAAATAATAGCTCAAAGGGAACTGGCAAACAAAATCAAAATCCTTTATTTGGGTACTTTTACTTCATTAAGCAGGGTAAGGAAGGAGAAAAATAAGAAGGGGGAAAAATAAAGAAAGAAAAAGAACTTTTATCGCCATCATTCAGACTTATTTCTTCATTCATTCTTTTTTTTCAGTACTTACTATAAATAGTCACCAAGGATTGTGATGTCTTAATGCTACATTATGTTTTCTTCAGTTGCTAAAAGAGGATAGGATAATGATCAGGACTTTCATGCATTTAGAAATGGAAAACAAAAGAGTAATTGACATGTAGATCATTTGCATATTTTGAACCATTCTTTGCTGCACCATGCTACCAAACTCACTAATAACATTGTTACCTGAGTCACTAAGCTTCAAATGAAATTTATGTTCCATTCCTAACAAACAGAAAATGCACTTGCATTCATATGCCATGTGAATTTTTACATTTGTCATAGAATGAATACATGGATTGCAAGGACCATAGAACAAGACACATTTTCCCTCTAAATGGAAAACTATGATTTTGAATAAACAAAATAGATTTTATTAGCAATTTTTACCATTCTTGCATTTGAAAATGTGTGAAAATGTGTGAAATAGTGTCCTAGTTAGAACAACTGGGACCGATTCATCACTGGATGGGTATAGCCCAAAACTGTGTATTCTATGGCCCTCCATGCCATTTCCCAGAAACTGTTGGGGGGGGGAGGGGGGGAAGGGTGTGCTGCCTGTGGGGGGATGTTCCTGTCCTCATACCCTTTTATGGAATTCCCCGCTCTGAGGGAAATACTGAGCATTCCTGCCTGAACTGGAGAATGTATAAACCTGGAGTTTCAGAACTTTCCTACCACTCGTGGGATCCAGAGGAAGACTGCAGCTCATCGCTCTCAAACAGACTGAGACCACCACCCTCAACTGGACTGCAATCACCACTTTTGACCAGACTGCAACACCTCTCCCACCAGCAGGCTTTTCCCCCCTCTCCCTTTACTTTGGACTCGGGGGGGGGGGGGGGCAAGGAACACCACTTGTTCATGCCCCAGGGTGCTGGGTTATACATTTGGGTTTGTGGGTTAAGACCAATTGTTTGTCTGTATAATTGTACTTATTGTATTATTTTAATAAATTGTTATTCTGATTTATAATCTCTCTTTTGAGTTGAGTCCATTTCCCCTGCTGGTTAACTTTTAAACCAGCGCAAATAGACAGCATGTAACTTTGTGTATGGCTTTTCCCAAGAAGTCTTGCCATACCAAACCCAAAGAGTCTTGAAACTTAACATTTACATGTACCATGTTTTCATATATAAATGTCTTGCCATTTGTACTCAAGTTATTCAGACAGCTGCTGACCACAGTTAGTCAGCCTCCTCCAGAAGGCTATTTACAAGAAAAGGTAGAGAGTTTTGTTACTTTGTAGTGCAAAGAGAGCAAGAACAAGATGCAAAATCCAAACAGATTCATGTTTTTGGAATTTACATATAACTGTGTTTACATTTTTTATGTTAGTGCATCTAATAAAATACAAGCATTCAATGTGCAACTGTGCCCAGAACTTCTCTTTTTCAATGTAGGCGCCTAACAGTGAACCAGACTTTCTTATATAGGGAGTATGCACCCTAGTAAACAGGAGAGTTACAAAGCAGTAAGCTGCCACTACCATAAAAAAATATTTTTAAGATAATTTTGCAGAACTGCAACTTCAGCAGAGAGGCAAATAACAAATTTTGGAAATCTTGTTTTCTTACTGGGACAAAAATTTAACTTTAAGTCATAAAATCACTTCCAGAAAGAAAGAATAGTTCATTTCCCAAACACTTTAAATATGTAACTTCGATGCTTTTGAAAAGAGTGCAAATGGTATAATTATGTGTTTATGGCTTTTCGAAGCTGTACACTGTCTGCTAAGAAACAGAGAAATCCAGTTCTGTCCTTTCATTCAGGTTCTGACCTTCTATTTAAAAAATGTGTCTAAAATTTATGATTGTGAAGGAGATCTCAGCACAATACTGATGAGGCATCTGCTTAAACTTGCAGGGAGGCATGAAGCCCAGTTATGAAAAACTAGCTATGAAATGTGTGAAATTTTCTATTTGTTTCAGGCAAAAGAATTCATACATATTTCTACTGATGCTAATTGAAATGTCAACACTGTTAATTTCATTTGAGAAAAGTCAGGGAAGGTGTCTTTCACACAGTTCTGGGGTTTTGTCTTGTTTGTCTACTGCAAATTGATTTCAGTTTAGACATACTTGTATATATTTTCGTCAATGAGCATACTGAAGTTCATCAATCAACCATTTTGACAGGGAAATAAGACTAGTCATATAGCAAAAGCTAAAGCTCATGCCAAGAAATTTTATAGAGTGGGGCCATAAAGAGGCCTTACAGAAATGGTAGAAAAAGAAGTTTAAAGAATCACTTGTATTTGAAAGATAGATTGCTAAATAGTCAAGACTGACAGATAAATCACCTGCTACTATGCACTAGCACAAATGCACATGTGGAAGATTGCCTTACTCTTCTTGCCAGCTTCCTCTACTCCTCTGCTCTTGAAGTAGCCTTTGTTTTGTGCTGGTCTTTCCCATCAATCTTTGACCATTTGTCAGAGCTTCCAAAGCTTAATAAAAATTGTCCCTGCATTGCTTAAGACATCACATTGCTGTCACCGCATGTCACTGGCTTGAGCAGTGTATCCTACTTACTTTAAATGCAGAAAAGAGAAGCTAAGAGAAGGTAACAGAATTGAACCAAAACTAAGCTGATCTAAGCTAAGCTTTGCTCTCTTACTCTTGCTTCCTTCAAAAGTTCTTTTTTTTGCTGTTTTTCACACACTTTCTGATTAGTCGCTTCGTTTTCACATGCCATAGCTGTGCTTCCAGTTGACCAGCCAATCTTTGAGTCTCATAATCTTTGGAATGATGAAAGCTGTGAGCATATGTAAAGGTGCTGACAAACAGACACACATAACAGGGAAAAGCTCCTGGAAAACTCTGCATTGGAAGTAGAGACTATTGACATCCCTGATGGAAATGGCATAAATTCTAAGGTGTTTGAAATACTACATTTTTTCTAAACACTATGTGAACAGTAACAGAAAGCACACTAAAATATTAAAGAAATGGAAACAGCACATGTACAGTTACTGACAAAGAAACATATCTGAAAGCAGGTCATTCACTTCTTTTATTAAGAAAGTGACAAAAAGTTTTGAACTATACATGAGTGATGACATGCATTTATGTGATTAATGTCTTCACAGGACAGTGGAATTTCTAGAAATGAATAATTTACAATCAGATGAACAAACTTCTGAATGTGATTGACCTTTGGGAAACAAAGACTGTCCTCTTTGGAGGTCAGTATAGCTGAAATATACTTGTAGAGGATGGGAAAAAAGAAGCTAGCTGTCACAGGTTGCCTGAGTCATAACAAAATGCAAAGTGTCACTTTGGAAGCTTTTGCTCCTTTTACTGAGAGGACAAAATGTATAGTCATTAAAAATAAAAATGTAAAAATATTGCAAGGTGCATATTTAGTTTCAAATTTAAAAAATGACTTCAAATGTGTGTCAGAAAAGTCAGGAAAGGTTTATGATTAGTATGACTAAATGACAAGACTGGTAAGAATGTGCAATTTTGTGTCCATTATTTCCCACAATGAATCACATTTTTGTAAGTGTCTGAGAATTAATCTTGTTTTCTTAAGGTAAGCAAGTAGTGTCAATGAAACTGCAACTGAACATTAAGAATTCCTTTATTCATAATAATCACTAATGAAAGTAATGTATTTGATTGCACCAGTCAATAAGAAAGGTACTAAAGCACATAAAATCCATATATATTAGTCTTCAATATGTATTAACTAGACTAGACAGAACAGTGTTAAAGCGTTAGCTTACAGGATATAAAATGCACCACTCAAAAAAGTCAAATAAGCAAGCACAATTTAATATTGCTCTCATCCCTCTAAAGTCTGCATTTTAGTTTGCTTTCAGACTTTCAATGCCAAGGGCACAAGTGACATTATAGAGTTATGGAAAGGCTTGGGTTGGAAAGGACCTTAAAGATCATCTACTTCCAAACCTTCTCCCATGGGCAGGGAAACATTCCACAACATCACAAACCCAGCCTCGAACACTTCCAGTGATGAGTACCCACAAGTTCTCCAGGCAACCTGTTCCAGTGCCTCACAATCCTCACAGTAAATAATTTCCTCCTAAGATTTAATCTAATCTGTCCTATTTTAGTTTAAAATCATTCCCCCTTCTTTTTAAGTACTGAAAGGCCATAATGAGGTTTCACAGAAGCCTTCTCTTCTCCAGGCTGAATATCAGCTCTCTCAGCCCGTCTTCACAGCAGAGGTGCTCCAGCCTCCTCCATCTTTGTGGCCTCCTCTAGACTCACTCCAACAGGTCCATGTCTTTCTTGTGCTGAGGATCCCATACCTGGATGCAGTACTTCAAGTGGGGTCTCACAAGGGCAAAGTAGATGGGGAGAATCCCTTCTCTCACCCTGCTGCCCACATAGGACACATTTGGCTTTCTGGGCTGCAAGTACACCTTGCCAGCTCACGTCCAGCCTGTCACCCACCAGCACTCCCAAGCCCTTCTCAGCAGGGCTGCTCTCAATCTATTCATCCCCCAGTTTGGATTGATGCTGGGCAGGGGTTGCCCCAATCCAGATGTAACATCTCCCATTTGGTCTTGCTAAATCTTATGATCTTGTCTGGTCCACATCTCAAGCTTGTCCAGGTTCATCTGGATGGCATTCAGGACCAGCTGTACAACATTGAATTATTAGCGGTGAATTATCGAACACTCTGACAATATTTGGAAAGAGAAGAAGCTGACAACTTGGAGTATTTATTGTTTACTTTTCTCCCCAGGTCGGAGGGCACATTATCCCTTGGTAGCGTGTGGGGGGATGTCACCTCCTCTGGTGGACAGGCGTCATGCGGAGTTGGGTGTTTTCTTCAGGGACTCCAGGAAGACACGCTCACCTTCCAAGAAATCAAGCTCCTGAGAAGAGAGGGATGGATGCGATGAGTATGAGAGAGTGACAGGGGCACATTCCAGGGTGATGCTCATGACAGAGGGAAGGATCCCAAACCCTCCTTCATGCAGGGAGCCACAGGCTGGCACTCATCCATGGTACCCCTTGGGGTGCATGGGGGGGCCTCCTTATAATCTATAACTATGAGTAGAACCCACCAATAAAGACTCCAAGAGCACCCCTGCTTGGGCAAGGGCACATCTGGGAAGCAGGAGCTGATAGGAGATAGTGGGGGCTGAGCCAGAGTCTGGCAGAGCTGGCTTCACCCATGCCGGGATGGGGTGGAAGGAGGACAATCCTGGTGAGCTAAGGATGTTATCCATGAACATGAGACAAGCTGTGAGGAGACACCTGTCCTTGCTTTTGCTATTGCTCCTCTAACTGCCTCTGGTTTCTGCAACCCTGCCCAACCCAGCAGCTCAGTAGTGATCTTAGGAGACACCCCATTCTGTGTATATCAGGCTCAAATCACATTTTACCCAGCCTTGCTCCCACTCAGCTGTTCCAAGCCCATTCCAGTCCCTGTATCCCACTGCCTCACCATCTGGGCCCTGTGTCTCAGCATCTGCAGTGTAGCATAGAGTGCAGTGGAGCTGTCTGTGCTGTCCCTGCAATACCACAGGCCATACTGAGGGTGGATCCTGCCTGCAAAAGATACCTTACTGGATGGTGCATTGCTGTTGGAGGCTTCACAGAGCAAACCTTTTTTTTTTTTGCTGACCACATGCACCTGTAGCAGTATTCTCCCCAAATTCCCAGTGCAAAAGGGCTTTAATCCACCAACCCCCCAGAGCACTGCCCTGTCTCAGAGAGTTTAGCTGAGCTCCTGCAGAGGATGAGGAGGCAAACTCACTCACAGATGACCTTTAGACATTAAAACCACTTCCAAGAACATCACAAGCCTCTTGATGAATGGACTACAAATGCAGCTGCTCTCCACACATCCCTTCCTATCAGCATCATGAAGTCTTACACGGTGTGCTGGAGAGGTTTTCCATAGGGGCACAGAGGTTCTGGGCTGAGTTGCACAGCTGTTCGAGCTGTCTCCTCTGCTGAATTTTGCTCAGCCAATCCTGCTCCATTCCCACAAGAAAGAGAAGCTGTTGGCAAATGTGCGGGCCCTTGACACAGTGGCCACAGGCCAGGAAGGAGAGGGTTTATTTGCCTGGTGCAGAAGCTCTTGATGCTGCCTCAGCTGCTCCAACTGTCTCTGCATGGCCTGGAGCCTGTCCTGGTGTAGGGACTCTATTCGGTGTGCCTCACGCAGGGCTCGCTTACCTACTCTATATTTCTGGGATGAGCGCTGCAAAGTGGAGTGGAAGATAAGACACAGGGCCCCTTGGTGCCCAGGGGTAGGGCTTCTTTGCACATCCCCTTATTCCCAGGTCAGGATTAGGATACAGGACTTTGGGAGCGTGAAGCCCCAGATTTGCTCCCGGCCTCTGTACAGCTGTGAATTGCAGTGCAGATGCTACACTTACTTGAATCATGCTTTTAATTTCCTTCTTCTGCTTCTGGATGGTCTGTGTAATACTGTTCACCTTCTCCCTCTCTAGCTGCAGCTCATGCCAGGATTCATCTAGCTGCTCCCTGTCCCTCTCCAGCTGCTCCTCCTTGGCTCTCAGCCTATGGCCCTTGAAACTCAGCTCTTCCTGCTCCTAGGATGGGCACGGGAGAAAGAGTTGCATTACCTGACCTGTTCTGGATACTGTCTCATGTCTTCCCAAGTAGATGAGGGAGATCAGCTTTTGCTGATCTTCTGTGGGCCACTTTGGAGTGCAGAGCAACATCACCAGGTACTCAAGCAGTGCCCTCATTCACCCACCGTTGGGAGTAAAGACTGGCAGAGGTCTGGTTGTACAGACATACTCACATTCTTTTCCCGGAAAGAAGAGAGCACCTCACCACATTGCACATCCTAAGGTGTGCTCAAGGCATGGCAGTTTGTCAGCAGTGGAAAGACTTGGCCTGAATGGTTATTTTCCACCCCACTAGTGCTTAAAAAGGCAGCTCTGCCGCACTGTGCCATATATCCACTCTTGGCAGCCCCAGGCAGGAGCAGAATGCAGCTGGACACGTGCCCACAGCACACGGAGGTTTTGCCTAAGCCACCTTGGAGGTTTCTTCTCAGCAGACTTAAAATGGAGGTCTGCTGCTTCTGCTCTGACCGTCCAGGCTCCTCACAGGCACAGGAAAGAGACAGAGAGGACTGATGCTTCAGTCAACATCTAAGACATCTGTTCCTCAACAGCCAGGTTCTCACCACACCGAGTGATGTCTCTGACTTTACACCTGGAGGCAGCGCTGAATGGCTTCCCTGCAGGCAGGACCCATCCCTGGAGACTGCCAGGTGGTGTTGGAGGCCATGGGAAGGGGCTCCACAATAGTACCTTGGCCAATCTCATCCTGGTGCGGTCTATCTGCCGGGACTGCTCCCTCTTCTGCTCCAGCCACTCCTCCCTCAGCTTCTCTTGTGTGTGGAATTCTGCCCACTCAGCCTCCAGCTTCCCTCGCTCCTCTGAACATTTCTGCAGCATTGACTTCTGCTCCTCCAGCAAAGTGTTCTGGAGAGCATGGCAAGAGGGGCAGAGAAGAAGCCCTAAGTCCCATGTGCCAGGGTATTTTTCACATTTGACACATCATTCCCATTAAACCCCACACAATATCTGGTCTGTGTCCAGAACTCTGCAAGGAGAGCTCTGGCTTCTGCTCCACAAGAACCAGCATGAGTCATGCAGGCACACAGCAGCCTCTGGCATCTGCACACTAGGAGGCTGTTTTGGATGGCAATTCCCCACGTGAGCAGGTGTGGAACGAAGAAAACAGAGATCAGATGAAGGAGGCTGAAGCACCCAGAACCCAGCTCTTTCTGTCATCAGTGCAGCGCTGCACAGCCTGACGGCACATGTGAAAAGCACCTGGCCCTGTGCACCTGCCCTCACCTTCACCCTCTTCAGCTCTTCTCGCTCCATGGAGAGCTGCTCCTTCATGAATTGTTGCTGCTTCTCCAGTGAACACTGCAGTGATTTTGCTTTCGCTTCCTCCACCATGGCCTTGCCGCGCTCCTGGGTTCGGACACAGGAGGAGAGACAGATGCCCTTCCCAGACTCCAGTGGGTGAGGCACATGACCCGTACCCACACAGGAAGGCTGAAGTGGGCAGAGGACACAGACTGGGCTCACCTGCTCCAGCACCTGAGTCTGCTCACTCAGCCTGGCCTCCAGTTTTGCAATCACCTCCTGGAATTGGCTCCGCTCCTTCGCCATGTCCCTCTGCTGCTGCGACAGCCTGTCCTGGAGCTCTGGAGGAGAGGCAGCAGCAGGGCCATGAGCAGCATGAGCTGGGATACCCCCACTCTATCCACACCATATTCACAGAAAAACTGCACCTTACGTGCGCTCACCACCTGCTGCACATCCCCAAGACTCTCTTTTGTCAAGGGGAGACCCTGAGATGTTGGGCAGCCAAGGCAAGCAAGGCTTTGCCAGCCTTAGCTGGACTTAGCTCAACTCATTAGCAGAGGTGAGGGTCTACAGGTGTAGGTTCCATAGGAATGAATCCCACTTTGATGATACATACCCTTGAGCTGCTTGTCCGGCTTCTGGGACATGGGACACTTTTCCTGCTCCTGGGACATGGGATGTTGCTGTGTTGGGGCTGTGCCCTGCCTCTGCAGTGGGAGCTGAGCTGCTGGCTGCTCCTCCTGCTGCAGCCACTCCTCCTGCTGCCCATTGTTCTTCTCCACTACCTTCATATGGCTCCTGCCCAAGAGGTCACAGAAAGAACAGAGTGTTGCTTTCTTGGCTATACCCGGCATGCTGGGGATGTGCTGGCAGTGGGGCTGGCCCCTCCTCCTTGTCACCCATAGCAGTGTTGATGAGAATGAGCCACTACCTTGGCCCCCCGTGGGGCTGCTCTCTGCCACCACCAGGTACACACTGATGTGGCCCTGCCCCCACCGGGGATGGACTGGGGAAGCATCCCAGCATTCCCACCTCAGGGGAGATGGACAGGGCTGTAGGCAAGCACCTGACAGAGGAGATGAGAACAGGCCAGAGCCTGCTACCTGTGGGCACATGCAATGAGATCCAAGTCCTCCTGGTGCCGCTGCTGGAGAAGCTGTAGTAACTGCCTTAGCTGTGCCTGCTCCATCTCCAGTGTCCGGACCTGCCGGACACCCAGAGAGAAGGTCCTTGTGCGACCCCAGGGACAGAGTTCCTACAGCAGCACTTTGAGGCTGTAGGCATCTCTGGACAGCAAGATTTCTTCTATCTGCCCTGTCGCTCTGATGCTACTTGGAGCGAACATGGCCCCTTCTCCTCCCTCTGCATTACCTGTTGTCCCCCCACCCAGCAGGCAATGAGGCTCACCTGGCCCTCCAGCTGTGACACATGAGCTTGGATGTGGAGCAGTGCTAATAAGCAGCTTGATGCACACTGGAGATGTGACTCAGCTGCATTAACCTGAGGGGACACAGGGATGCTGTCAGGCAGACCATTTCCTCCTCACCCTGGAACAACAATCTATCCCTAGCCCACTGCAGCCCTTCCTCTATTCTTCTCCTGCCCAACCCCACTGCTGGTGGGTCCTTTCTCCCCAGAAGCAGCCCCTACTCCAAACACAAGGATACTGGGCTTTGTTGTAGGGGGACAGATTCAAGAAGAGTGTGATTCCTCTGGGAGACAGTGTGTATCCTGCCACCTGGGCAGGGTGAGGAGATTCATCTAGATGAGAAATGTAGGATTCCAAGACCAAGCAAGAGCTGCCTCTGCAGTCAAAGCTCTAATTCCCTTTCAGTTGTTTAGAAACAACTTCACAGCTCATCTCTGATCCCCACTGCTGACTTGAATGGAGTGAGACTAGGGGCAGTATTGGCCTGCCTCAGCCCCAGCTCTTAGGACTCTCAGGCTCTCTCCTGAAATTTGGGCTCACCTCTAGAAATTCCAATTCCTCCTCCAGTCTGTTGAAGAGATCGTCCTCTAGCACAGACCTGTGACACAAGCCTGGGCGTTAGCAGCACCCCACGTGAGATGGGCGAATGTACCTTGGGGACAGCCAGGCCAGGCAGGGGGAGGTGCAGGTGACCAGACAGGAACAGTGCAGCAGCCACATCGTACAACACAGAAAAATGAAGCGAAAATAGCACTGGGATAAAAGCAGTGTTGGGGAATTGCTCTGTTTAACAAGTAACTGTTATAAGAGAGATTTACAGATGTACAGGGCTGAGGAGCACCCAGCTCTTGCTGGAAAGCTTCAGGCTCTGGGGTCCCAGTTCCCAAAGGCATCACAGATAATTCACCTTCCCATGCAATGGCTATTGGGTCAGAGAATGAGGTGGAGAAGTCAAGGACAGGCAGATCAGAAGAACTTGGAGGCTACAGAGAGATCCCCAAGAGTGATGTGTCTGAAAAGCACTCACTTCTCACTGGCCTGTGAGCAGGTGTCCCGGGCTCTCAAATTGCTACCATCAGTCGGCTGAAAAGCTCTGGCACATTTAGCAGTATATTCTTCTGGAAACCAGACATGGAGTGATTAGGACAATGGACATAGACATATTCCTGACTCTGTCTCTCCAAAGGGGAATCTGCTGTGTCTCCATGGGCCACTGCTGAGCTCAGTGCACCCCATGTCCCTGCCATGCCACAAAATGGGGATGGCATGATCCTGCAGATTGAAAACCTGCTCTAAGGATGGCTGGTCATAGCCTGAGCAGCATTCCCATGGCCAACGGTGATGCTGTGGCTCCTGCCTTTTGCTGGGTTCTTTTTGAAGGGGAGGGGGACCCTCTCTGCCTATGACTGTCCAAACCATATAACCACATGATACGCACCCGGGGCTCTGACCTTCTGGGAGGGATCTGGCTTTGCAGACTGCAACAGTTCTGCTGAGGCTTCTTTCATGGTGCTGAGCTGAGGGACTGGCTGACTGCATGGGTACAGAGACACAAGTAATGCTCAGCAGTGTCACAGTTCAGGGAGAGGTGCACAGGCATTTGCCTGATTGCCATTTTTGTCAGTTTAAATCTTTGCTGTCCCCTGAGATCAAATAGGCAAGGGCCTGATGATTCTTCAGAGCTGCCTTCCCTCTCAGATACAGAGGTCCCACAGCAAAGGGATCACTGATAGGTACCCACTCTTCCCATTCCCCCTCTCCTCACACACACAGTTGTTTTCTGCAGGACACCTCTCCATGGGAGAGGTGAGAGAGAGACAAACGAGACCTTACCTGGAGCCATCTGTGCTCTGTGCCTTGTCCTGTGGGGTAGTTGTCTGTTGTGGTGCTCTTGCGGAGGCATCCACCTGGCTTCAAGCACAAACCATCCAATGGGAGACAGCCAAGGAGAGGATGAAAGATGAGACCCTTGCCCCTGACACCCATTCCTGCCTCACAGCTGACAGCCTGTCCCAGTTGGCTGTGGCAGGATTCAGCTTTTGATTTCAGAAGGAGCACAAGCACCTCAAAACCTCCATCACTGGTGTTCCTTCTTGCTGCATCCATCTCCTGCCTCTGGCAGAAGCAGCCCCAGCTAATACACCTCTGCCCATGACACATGGCAGTTTGTCTGCAATTCACTTCTGGGTTCCATCTGGGTGGCACAAGTCTGAACCTGATTCCAAGTGAACTCAGTACTCCTTTGCTTGCAACTAGCGGGAATGAAGGGAAATGGAGGTAGGAGCGAGGAGGATGGGGGAGCTTTTTGGGGTGTGCTGATCCAGGACAGCTCCATGGGATCTGGGGCCACGTGTGCAATCTTGACCACAGATGGAAAGAGAGCCCAGAGCTGGGATGAGGCAGTGGGCTGGGTCAGTAGTAGAAAGCCCCATGTTATTACCCTCGTCTGAGAGAAGACAGTACTTAGAATTAATTTCCTAAATCTAAGACAAAGATTTCTGAAAAGTCCTGCTGGAGCAGCTACATGTGGAGCAGATGGGAGACCTGCAGCCATTGACCGTGCCTTTACCTGGCAGGAGTGTGGACGTCCAGCTCTTCACCCGGAGCGTCCAAGGCTTTCACCTGGGCTTGAGATTTCTTGAGAGCCAAGGCAGCACTCAGCCAGCCCTCCTCCTCCTTCAGTGGGTCAGCTTTAGCTCCTGCCTTCTCTGTGGCCAGGAGCTGGCTGGCAGGGACAGGCTGGCTGTCTGCAGCAGGGCTGGTCTTTGCTGGAGGCTGTGGCTCCAAATCTATAAACTTCTCATCTTTTGAGCTCCGCCAGTCACAGCTAGTCCTTTTGGCCTCCCTGACAAGGCTGTGACTGGCTGGTGGAGGAGATTTGGAGTGAGCCTCCTCTTTCAGTTTGACACTGTTCTGGGATGCACGCCGGCTGCAAAGAGAAGCAGTCACATACCTGCCTGCAAGGGGACTCTGCATGTGAGGGGACACTGGGAACCCTGCCCACCCCACTGCAAGGGCAGAATGGCTGGTAACTGGAGCTACAGACACACACAGAGCACAATACCTCACAAGTTGTGTATTTGTCGTCTGGTCTTTGAACTCAGAATGGTCATGCTCTCCAAAGACACATTTTTTCTTGTCTTGATCCTCTTCCTTCTCTGTTCAGACAACCAGCCTTGAGTAAGTACCCAGAGGAGCAGCTGTCTGCAAAGACACCGGCCCTCCTCCTCTTCCTCCTTCCCTGCAGTTCCTCTTGGGATTGCTGTCTCTGGGAAAACACAGCTGGAAACATCTTCACTGGAAAATCTAAGTGTGGATGGGAACACCTTCTTCATTTGGAATCAGCCTACATCCAAATGCAACTGAGTCATGGCTGCAGTGCAAATGCTACCAGGTTGCCTCTAGGGCAGAGTATGACACTTTTGCATCAGCCACCTTCCCTCCTCACTACTACAGAAATGGCAATTCCTCTACGAGGGCATTAGAAACCAAGCTCGCTCTCCCAAGATAATGCTGTCACATCTGATGACCTTCCCAGTGTCCCTGGCTGGGCTCGCCCAGCTGCTTTTTGTTCTTCTTATCCAGCTGCTTTTTGTTCTTCTTATCCAGTTCTAACTCCCTGTGCTCTCTCTTGCTTGTATCTTCCAGGAAGAGTATAAGGATACTGCTCTTGCAGCTACCAAGCTCGCAAAGCAGGGGTAGGAAAGCTCCCAATCTCAATAAGCCTTACTCTTTTGAAACCCTCCAAGAAGGCTGCTCTCCAGCCTCATCAGCATAATGCCCTCCTTGCCGGGCTAAAGAGAACTCCCAGGACTTAAGCCAGTATTAGAAGAATAAAACATTTAGCTTCACTTAGCCAGCAATGAGACATCTTTATCAAGTGAGCCTGCTGCTTCCTATTCAGTTAGTCCCTGGCCACAAGCAGCCCTTGATCTGTGAGCTCTCACCCTGCAGTGTCTCAGAGTCCTGGGCAACCCCAAAAGCACTGTTTCAGCATCACAGCTGCAAGAGGCCTCCAACCAAGCAGTTAGGGAGGAGAAGAACAGAAATAAAAGCGTAAATTATCCCCTAGATTTGGGAATGACCCCAAGAGAGGAATACAGGGCCTCAGTAAGCAAATTGCCTTGATGGGAGAGGCAGGTGAGCATCTCTGGTTCAGGAAAGATGCAATGCACTCAACTGCAGCTTTCAGATAAGGATTCTGGAACATTAAAGCAGCCAGGGATGCTACCTGTGCCCAATGTGCCCCATCCTCTGTCCCTTGCATTTCCAGGAGATAAGGCACTTACATACATGAATGCACTGGAGTGTACATACCTCCAAAACTCTTGCTATTTTCAGCCTGTGGAGAAAGACAAGTTCCCTCATTAGAATATAAAGCAGGTCTGACCCACACCTTCCCAAAACACACTAAGGCCAGAGGTATCCCATAAACAACAGTACAGCCCTCCTCGTGCTCTTTGGGAATTGGCATGTGAAATACAGAGAAACCACAAGGATATTTCCAACTTTAGAAACAGCAGTGAGCATAGCCCCTCTGAGCACTGGGCCTGTAGAGCCTCCAGCCCCTGGGATCCCTCCTACCTTCCAACAGAGGAGACGGCGCATCCGTTTGTTTTGGAGATGACATTCTTGCCTTCAGGCCGTATAACACTCACCATGGCAGTCTGTCCCAGCCTTCCCGTGATCCAGCAACTCGGTTTATGGCTTGTTCCGATGGCCAGTGGGGCGAGATGGAGCCCTCGGGGTCAGGATGGAGCCCGCCGGTCCCGCGGCGTGGAGCTCCCGCCGCATCCACCACGGCGGTGCCACATGCGGTTCCTCGCGTGTGTTCTCGAAGTTCCAGGTTGCCATGGAGATGATGCTGCCGCTCCCAGAGGATCATCAGAGACATCTCCACAGCCCCTGCACCACAGGCTCTTCCCTAGCCCTGGGACCACCCTCCCTCCCCGGGCTGAGGGAAGTATCCCCAACCCTACTTCGTGCAGCGAACCACAGTCTGGCACTCATCCATGGTACCCCTTGGTGTGTATGGTGGGCCTCCCTGTAGCCCATGACCTCACATTGCGAAGGCACCCACAGACAAAGGGCACATCTGGGAAGCAGGAGCTGATAGGAAAGGATGGGGACATCACTGAGCCAGAGTCTGGCTTCTCCCACACAGTGATGGGATGGGAGAGGGACTACCCCAGTGGGCTGAGGATGTTATCCATGAATATGAGACAAGCTGTAAGGAGACACCTGTCCACCTGTCCTTGCTTCTGCTATCACTCCTCTATTGCCCATGAAACTACAGTCCCAGCCCAGTGGCTCTGCTCTCCCTGGAGCTGGCAGAGAAAATAGGACTGCTTGGGCTCAAGTGGTATTTGTATTACTTCATGAACATCTAGCTAATACAAAATAAGTGGTAGCACTATTAAACTTTTATTCAGAAGGCAAAACTCTTTACCGCTCCCTGAAGAAACATTTGCAACTTTTTCTTTTTGCCAACATTTTAACTTTAGCTGGCCTGATCGGAAAGCGAAAAACAGCTGTTGCAGCAACATTTGAATAGGTTTTGTGGGGTATACTTAGGCAATTTCTCACATCCGGAAAAGAAAAATCTTCATCTCTGAACATACTTTCTCTGAAAGAGTATTCCTGAGGTCTCATCGATAACAGTGTTTGCAAATGCTAACTTAACTAATTTCTATATCAGTGTTTTTCCATATATTTTTTTTTCCGCTACCACTGTTGGATTTTTTTAATGTTTGGGCAAATTACAAGTTCTAAACAAATTATGACAACTATGAACTAAAGGGAAGGTGACTCTTTAGTTAAGCCTGCCAAAACTAAGAAACCCCTTGTGTCTTCATATCTTTTTCTCTTTTACATTTTTTACCTTCAGTCTTGTTCATTGCTTTGATCAAATGACAAGTCATGTTCATTTAATGGCAATTCCCTTTCATTTCAGAAACAGTGAGGAAACAATTTCCGGTCTTACTGGAGGACCTGGAAGTTCTAGATTTTCTAGGTAATTTTTATCACAAATTCCTTTATCTACATAATCATTTGAAATCCATCAGAAAAATTTCATTCTTACAAAAGACAGCACAGCAGAGCGGAACAATAAACTTAAATGCTGCCACTCTAAAAAAGGTTTTAAAATATTAGTCTAATTGCTTTCAAAAGTGTAAATTAAGCCTTAATAGTCAGAGCAATAGAGATCAATATTCCCAGTGGAATTACAACAGGAATTACACTGCCTGTTGGTCTGAACTACTAATGAACTCTTCTGCAGGTTTCCTCAGGGTTGCACTGCTCAGTGTGGAACACTTGCAGTGAAATGGCGATGACTACTGAATGTGTGCTGAGTGCAGTATACACCAAGTACTCTACACATCTATATGCAGTCAGAGACCAGTGAATCTTGCCAGAATGTACAATGTTAGAAGGAATGCTAAAAGCACATTCCAAACCCAGAAGAACATGCATGAAAAAGTGTGAATTCAGAAGAACCCGAGGAGTTAATGAAAATTAAGATGGAGGAGTCTGGTTTTTAAGATTGCACATAGCAGGGAAGAAGATGAATAACTAGAGCTGATAAACCTTTAAGGTTAATTCAGGTTTTTTTTACTTTGTTTGAGGCTAGAACTGAGATATAGGAACTTAAGCTAAAAAAGCATGCTGTTACATGGCTCATCTAAGACACACTGGTGGAGGCTGTTCCTCAACAGCCAGGTTCTCACCACACCGAGTGATGTCTCTGACTTTACACCTGGAGGCAGCGCTGAATGGCTTCCCTGCAGGCAGGACCCATCCCTGGAGACTGCCAGGTGGTGTTGGAGGCCATGGGAAGGGGCTCCACAATAGTACCTTGGCCAATCTCATCTTGGTGCGGTCTATCTGCTGGGATTGCTCCCTCTTCTGCTCCAGTCACTCCTCCCTCAGCTTCTCTTGTGTGTGGAATTCTGCCCACTCAGCCTTCAGCTTCCCTTGCTCCTCTGAGCACTTCTACAACATCGCCTCCTGCTCTTCCAGCAAAATGTTCTGGAGAGCATGGCAAGAGAGGCAGAGAGAAAGCCCTAAGTCCCATGTGCCAGGGTATTTTTCTGTGCGCTAGAAGGATTGCAATTCCCCATATGAGCAGGTGTGGAATGAAGAAAACAGAGGTTAGATGAAGGAGGCTGCAGCACCCAGCACCCAGCTCTTTCTGTCATCACACGCTGCAGTGCAGCACTGCACAGACTGACAACACATGTGAAAAGTACCTGGCCATGTGCACCTGCCCTTACACTCACTCACTCCAGCTCTTCTCACTCCATGGAGAGCTGCTGCTTCATGAATTGTTGCTGCTTCTCCAGTGAGTGCAGAGAAACAGAATTCACAGAAAAACTGCACATACTTGTGCTCACCACTTCTGCATATCCACAGGACTCTGTTTCGTCAAGGGGAGGCCCTGAGATGTTGGGTGGCCAAGGCAAGCAAGGCTTTGCCAGCCTCAGCTGGACTAAGTTCTAATGAACTCATTAGCAGAGGTGAGGGTCTACACTGTGACTGTGCTTGTCTATTATTCCAGAGGTGGAACCTATACGTCCCATTGGAACGAATGTCACTTTAATGAAACGTACTTTCGAGTTGCTCGTCCTGCTCCTGGGACATGAGATGCTTCTGTGCCACTAGGGCTTTATCCTGGTTGTATGACAGGAGCTAAGGTGCTGGCTGCTTCTTCTCATGCCACAGCCTCAGCCCCTTCTGCCACATCTGTTGACACTAGTTCTCCCTTCTCATTTATGGGGTAGGTATGCTCTCCTTGGCCTTTCTTTTCTGACCTATGCCCCAATAGAATCTCTTATTGTTTTTTACATCCCTGGCCAAGTCCTGTTACATCTGTGACTTAAAATTTTAAAAAATATATTTACAGGAAGGACTCTTATCAGAACTCTTCATAGTTTCAAAATCTTTAAAGAGGTTAGGTGTAATTCAAGGAAGAAGATTCATTTGCAGCTCAAATCCCTTTCAATACAGATGCAGTACTGCCTGTTAGTTACTCTCTTCTATAGTTTATTCAACTATGCCTTGCCTGCGTCAGGTAATTGAAGGTTAACAGGACAGATTATTTAACCAAGTGGCCTACACCACATGTCTTGCAAAGATATAAGAAAGGCTATTGGATGTTGTAGCAATGACATTTGATTAGACTTTCCCACTTCAAAGTTTTGACAGCACTCAAATAGGAAGCAATAACACTATGTTCTCTGTTTCTTTAAATTCTGTTTGACAACAGTTGAGATTTTGCAGATTTATACCAAACAAAGAATACAATAAGTCCACTTTGTTAAATGCCAGGTAAAATTGAGGCTTGGTGAATAATACCTTGTTATTGTTCGTAATTGCTACCACTAGAGATGGCATCTGCTTTTTTTTTGTTTGTTTTGTTTTTTGACCCCCTCAGGGGTCAGTATGCTTAATCACAAGTCAATCTGAATACAGAAACACTACAGACCTCCAGGAATTTAACTCTGGTCTTTGTGCGTTTCTTCCAACTCAGGATAGTCTATGATTCTATGATTTCTTAGTTAATAAGCCTTACTGGCAGTGGTGGAGGGCAAACACTATGATTTCTTAGTTAATAAGCCTTACTGGCAGTGGTGGAGGGCAAACACAGACAAATACCTACTTCCAGGTTCAGAAGGGGGTTAAATTTTCTTTCACAGTTCAGCATTTACTATCAAAATTTTTCTTGTGTTTTAACTTCACTGCTCACTATTTTTTATTACTAGTGCCCAGGTAAAGCAAGATAATAATTTAATAGTATTACATGGCTTCTAGACTCAATATAGTAATTTAACATCACTTCTTGTCATGAGAATTTGCTGCACTTATGTGCAAGAGTCTCTGGTCTTCACTGACTAGTTGATATGCACTAAAGAATCATCTGCATGACAATGAACTGTTATAGCAGGACATCCTAGTATCACCAGCAACAATGCAGGGAAGACAGTGTTTAGCTAGTATATTTGTATTTCAGGGATACCTAGAGTCAGTATATGTGTTGTAATGACAATAAACACTCTAATTCTGCTGCTAACTCTCAAGCATGTTAAGTGACATTTATTAGCGTGTAACATTTTTTAATTGGCACACTTATTTATACCAGTTTTATGTTAAGTTTTGGAAGACTGTGAAAATTCTTGAATACTAGTAGAAAGTTAATGTTATGTCAATATCTAGAAAGGGTAAATTAAACTGGGTAATAGATATGGTTAATTATAGGCCTGTCAGCCTGCTATCGATCCTGAAGAAAATAATGGAGCAGCCACTACAGGGTTTGATTAAAAAAGAATTAAGAGGAGTTAATATAATTAATGTCATTAATTGACATTATGCACTTATGAAAACTAAGTCTAATCACTCCAACTTAGTATCCCCTTTGAATATAACTGTAAATTTGGGGGATGCACTTGATCTCTTCCTTTGACTTTGAATCTTTCCATTCTGATGCAGTGAGCGGAACAATACAAAATCCCCTTGGTGTATATTATATGGAATAAAGTCTGGTTAGCCATATATCTTGAAGGACTTGGTAGAATTTGCTTCTTGGTCCATCACTAATAAAAAAGCATTAATAAATTTTTTTTACTGGCAAATATTGTACATAATAAATACTGGTTCATTAAATCATAAATAATGATGATTGCTCACATAAAGTCACTCGTACACTGACTTACAATATAATAGGTGTAAAGAGAATTATTCAAGCAGAAAAATGTAGGATATTCTGACAATCTGAAGAATTATAGAATGGTTTGGATTGGAAGGGACCTTAAAACTCATCTAACATGGGCAGAGACACCTTTCACTAGAACAGATGCCTCAAAGCCCCATCCAACCTGGACTTGAATAGTTTCAAGGATGGGGCATCTGCAATTTCTCTGGGCAACTTATTACAGTGTCTCATCACACTCACAGTAATGAAATTCTTCCAAATATCTAGGCCCCATCAAGTACTGGGAGACTGCTTATAAGCTCTCCCTAGAGCCTTCTCTTTTCCAAGCTGAACAACTCCAACTCTCTTAGCCTTTCCTCATCGAAGAGGTGTTCCATCCCTTGGACAATGTTTGTGGTCTGCTAGACCCACTCAAGCCAGTCAAAATCCTTCTTGTGCTGAGGACACCAGAGCTCGATGCAGTACCCCAAGTAGGGTCTCATGAGGGCAAAATAGAGGGGCAGAATCACCTTCCTCAGCTTGCTGGCCACGCTGCTTTTGATGAAGCCCAGGATGTGTTTGTTATGCATGGCTGCAAGCACACATTTCTTGCTCATGTCCAGCCTTTCAAAAACCAACTCTCCCAAGTCTTTCTCCTCTTACAATGCTACTGTCGTAATTCTGACCAAAAAAACCCCCAAAACCATAGTTATTAAAGTAAAATACATAGTAAATATGTGTATCACTCACTTTGACTGTGAGTGAAAAAATGAATGAACAAATAAATAAAACTTTTTCAATGGAGAAACATTCTAATTGCAGTAGAATTTTTATTACCCCTGATTCATACATATATCTAGGCCTGACATGGATATGACTGGAATACTGAGTCCAGTTATGGTGTCTGTACTTCATTTCCACACACCCCCCCCCCCCGAAATAATATTAAAAATCTCAAGTTCAAAGAAAAGTTGAAGGTGTTATTCAAAACTGCAAATTATCACATTCTGGTAGTCTTCCCAAATTGCTTGTTTGTAGTATCCCTTTCACATTTTTATAAGTAATTGTCAATATGGACTTCCATGTAGATTTGCACATTTCCTCTGTGTTTTCTTTCCTAACCCTAGTTCCTACCCTCTAACTCGTGACCAGCAACATCTCCTTTTCCGCTTTTGTCATGCACATAACGACAGATTTGAAAGGAGCACCCTCTGTTTAGCTAATCAAGGAAGAGGCTAATAGTGACACAATCACAGGCTATAGGTGCCTACTGAGGTACAGAAATCTGATTAATCTAATTAGTTCTTCAATCTAAGGGAGAAGAAACAATGGGTAGATCATCTACCTGTGTGAATTCAGTCCGGAAATAAGACACAGATTTTCACACTACGTAGTAATTAAATACTGGGACAATTTAGCAGAACTGAACAGATTTTCCATTATTAGAAATTTATAAATCAGTATTAAGGGTTTTTTTGTTTCATTTCCTCTCCACCCCCCCAAACATGTTGTAGTTCAGCACATCTATTAGATATTAAATAAGTATTAATATCTGTATTAAATATAAATTAAGTGTTAAATATGATTCCAGATTAGTTTGTTGGAGTACTGTACTTCATTGCCTTATTTGGTATTTCCTAAGTGGAAAATTCTCTAGATAGCTAGCTTTGTTTAGTTTATGTATCAAATTGGTTTTACTGTTTTAGTCATTAATTTCAAGATGAAAATAAGTGTTTAATTATGGAACATGTGATTCTCATGAACACAGAAAATTATTATTTATCTCTCTTTATCCTAAAGTCACACAAATAACTGTAGTGCAATTTTTCTGTTTATCAAACATGTAATTAAATCTTTACAGACTATTCATGCACATATCTATAATATATTCATAACAAAATCAAAACAAAACTACAGTTAATGAACGTTCACACCATAATCATTCTATTTGCTTTATTTAATATACACTTAAAATTAATGCATTTGTAATTGGTTATTCTTCAAACAGATTAACTTCTGCCTCTATACTCCTTCTACTATGCAACCTTCAGAATGAAGCTTCACA